TAGTTTTGTGTATTATTTTAATATGCATGGTTTTATACTGTGTAAATCCTAGTAAACATCCCCCTCTTATAAGAATGTTTTTTAGCTTTTTTTCATTTGATATATGTGCATCTTGCTTGTTCCCATGAACTGCTGTATAGTATTTTGTCTCCTGACTATATTTTATTTAACAATTTCCCTTTATTGATGGTCTCTGGGTTCTCTTTACTCTGAACTATACTGCAATATATGTGACATACAGTCAAATAATTGCGGTGCAGAAATATTTGGGGTGGTAAAGGGGAGCAATTAATTGGTTAAAGCAATCTTTCAAGGACTGAGAAGGGATGTCAAGTTACTTATGTAGCATTTATGTTATATTAAAAGAATGCTCTAGAGATTACTTGACATACCAGGAAAGATAGGCATAGGTAACATCCAAACACTACACTATTTTTTTTCCTTTCTTATTATTTTATTATTCATTTTAATGAAAGTTTACAGAGTCTTTGGATTTCCATTCATTCACTGTTGAACTTTTCTCCCTGCCACTCTCCTCCCCAGTTCGCTCTTCTCTTTGAAAAGGAAAATTCTTTCATTGTTATACAGTCCCTGCCCCCCAGGTCCACTCCAATATGCAGCCTTCATTCTGGACTCCTCTCATGACAATAATACCTAATCATATGTCCCTTTTAAACAGTTCTCTCCCTCATCTGTTTCAGTGCAGTATACATAATTTATCCCATCTTTCGCACTCTCCCCCCAACCCTGATGTCAGTCTCGTTTTATGACAGTGGCATTATGCAGTTTTTGTCCTTTCGTGATTGAGATATTTCACTCAGCATAATGTCCTCCAGAGTCACCCATTTTGTATAATATTTCATGAGTTCTTTGTTTTTTAGTGCAGCATAATATTTCCTTATGTGTATATACCACAGCTTCTCTATCTATTCTTTTGTAGATGGGCACTTGGGTTGTTTCCAGCTCTTTGCTATTAGGAACAAAGTAGTAGTAAACATGGGTGTGCATATATTTGCTTGGGTAGCAGTTATGGTTTCTTTAGGGTACATTCCCAGTAGTGGAATTGCTGGGTCAAATGGTATTTCTATTTCCAACTTTTTGAGAAAGTACCATATTGCCTTCCATAGTGGTTACACCATTTTACATTTCAGATGTGTTTGTTCACCATCTGAATGTCTTCTTTGGTGAAGTGCCCATTTTTCAATTGAGTTGTTTACCTTTATCTTGTTATGGTAGTCAAATATACTATAAATTCTAGATATAAGTCCCTTATCAGACATGTCCTTACCACATATTTTTTCCCAGTCTGTGGTTTCCTATTTTACCCTGTTGGAAAAATTTTTGGATGTGCAAAGGGATTTGATTCCAAACACTACACTATTTTTGATAATGACTTACACAGCCTTGGATTGTGATATCCTGTGGTAGAGGGCTTCTGAAACCAGGTGCCTGGGGCTGCCAAGGGACAATTATTGTGAACCTTTGGTGTGCCTTCTAAACTACATGTCGGGAGTCTGGTGGCCAAATGGCAAGAAACATAGAATTACCATTTGGTCCATCAGTTCTGTTCCATATACATTCAATAGAATTGAAGCCTTATATCAACATAAAACCTTATATAGGAATATATGTATATATAATACCAGTGTTCATAATAGCCAGAAAGTAGAAAAAACCAAATGTTCATCTACTGATGAATATATACTCAAATGTAGTATAACCATAAGTGGAATTGTTATTTTGCAATAAAAAGAGTGAAATACTATTTTATGCTACAGTGTGAATGAGTTTGAGAATATATCAAATAAGTGGAAGTAAATATAAAGTAAGAGAAAGAAACCAGACAAAGATGGATTTGTTTAAGAGTGCTGAATTTCCATGGACTGCCAAGTGAACAAACAGGTATGTCTGGGAGAAAGTGAAGTCAGAGTGCTCCTTAAAGAGAAGGAAGGCGAAGTTTTATCTCACATACTCTGGACATATTGTTAGCAGAGGCTGTTCCCTGGAAAGAGACATCATACTTGGAAAGGTGGAGGGTCATTGAAAGAGAGGAAGATCCTTGACGAGATGCATTGACACAGTGACTGCAGCAATGAAAGATGATGAGGATGGTACAGGATGGAACACAGGTCAGGTCTGGTGTTCCAAGGGTCACTGTGAATAGCACTTGACTTGATGGCACCTAACAATATTTTTGTGAAATAGAATAGGCAAATCCATAAAGACATAAAGTAGATTATTGGTTTCCTAGGAATGGCTGGCCATTAATGGGCCACTGACATTAATAGCTGTGTCTTAGGGTCTACGCATTTTTACTTCATATGGCTTCAGATAGGGAGCTCTGGTGGCCTGTTCCATAAAGTGTTGTTATGGTCACCCAAAGGCGGTGCCTCTCTGAGGATTCAAATTTGCCAACCACTTTGAAGAAGGAAGATAGTCAGTCTTCTTCCGTGTGATTTACAACCTCAGAAAACCTGCTGCAGGGTCAGCTATGACTGGGCTCTGACTCCATGACAATGAGTTGAGTTGTCAATTCAGTTAATGTAATTCTCTACCTTTCATTGTGTAAATACATGCAAATGTTCTTTTAGCTGTAGGTTTGTTAATATATTACATTAAAATATTTTTGTGTGTCTTTGGACCATAGCCCTTATTGCTGTTGTTAGGTGCCATTGAATTCAGTACAACTCACAGCAACCTGATGAACAATCATTCCGAACACTGACCTATCCATGTCATCCTTACAGTCTCCGATACACTCAAGGCCATTGCCACAGTAACTATTTCAGCCATCTGGTTGAAGGTCTTGCTACCTTTCACTGCCTTTCCACCTTTCCAAGCATGATCCACTAAGAAATAACCTTTCCTAACAATGCCCAAAATATGTGAGACAGAGTTTCATCATCTTTGCCTCCAAGGAGCACTCTGGCTGTACCCTCTTCAAGATGTATCTGTTTGTTCTTTTGAGTACATGAGAACTTTAACACTCTTCTCCCACACCACAGTTGAGTACATGAGAACTTTAACACTCTTCTCCCACACCACAGTTCAAAGGCATCAATTCTTCTTTTATCTTTAATTATTTTTTTTTTTTTACTATTGGGGTTTTTTTATTAATTTTAAAAAAACATTTACAGAGATTTTGGAATTCCATTCATTCATTACCTCACTTTTCTCCCTGCCCACCCCTCCCCACCAGTTTGCTCCCCTCTCTGAAAAGAAAAGGGGAAAAAATTCCTTCATTGGTATACAATTCCCCCATCCATTTACCGCCACCCCCCACCCCCAGTACACCTCTCTATGCAACCTTAACTCTTATGATAATCATAATGCCCTAAAATATATTCTTTTTAAACTGTTCTTTCCCTCATCTGCTTCAATACAATATACATAATTTATCCAGTTTTTCTCTGTCATACCCCCACCCTGATGTCAGACCCATTCTCCAACAGTGGCACCATGCAGTATTTGTCCCTTTGTGACTGAGCTATTTCACTCAGCATAATGTCCTCCAGGGTCACCCACTTTGAATAATATTGCATGAGTTCCTTGTTTTTCAATGTGGTGTAGTATTCCATTTTGTGAATATACCACAGCTTCTTTATCCATTCATTTGTTGATGGGCACTTAGGTTGCTTCCACCTCTTTGCTATTGTAAACAAAGCTGTGATAAACATGGGTGTGCATCTTTAATTATTGTTCACATCTCAAGCAGTAAAGCAAGTTACTTGAAAAGGCCATGGCCTGAATCAGGCGCACCTTAATCTTCAAACTTTCATTTTCACTCTTCAATTATTTTGAGAGGTCCCTGACTAGACTTTCCCAGTGCACTATGTATCCTTATCTCCTGACTTCTGGTACCAGATGTATTGATTGTGGACCCAAGTGGGGTGAAGATGTTGTGAGATGAAAGGACTGAGAGGCTTAGTCCTTTCTCCATTTATCATGATGTGGCCTACTGGTCCAGAGGCAAGAATTTTTGTTCTTGATACTGAGATGCAATCCATATTGAAGACTACAGTGTTTAACCTTCTGCAGCAAGTGGGTTATTATAATTTGGAGGAACATTCTTCTAAGTCTTACAGCACTCTTCTGTCAATTTGTTATACAGAGTTAATCTGGGATTGCTGTGATGCTGAACCCTGTGCCACTGGGGTGTCAAATGCCATAACAGTTGCCCATGGTGGACACTGTTTGGTGGAGCTCCCAGTTTAAGACAGGTTTGGAAGCAGGAGTGGCATTCACTTCCTAAACAACATGCTTCTGGAAACTCTATGATCTTGGAGAAATGATGTTAGTTACAGAAAGGCATCAGGCCTTTTGTTCAGAGGGTCGCTAGGAGTCATGCTCAACTTGACGGCAATCACCAACAACACTTTCAACAAGCAAGGCTGTATCATCTGCATAATGAAGGTTATTGATGAGCCTTCTTTCAATCCCGATGCCACATTCCTCTTAATAGAGTTCAACTTCTTGAATAATGTTCCCAACATATAGGTTAAATAGGTATGGAGTATTTCCTTGTGCTATTTGCACGACAGCCTCTTGGTCTAGGTATAGGTTTCACACGAGCACAATTAGGTATTCTGGAATTCCCATTCTTCTCAATGCTAGCCATAATTTGTGATCCACACAATTAAATGCCTTTGCGTAGTCAATAAAGCACAAATAGACATTCTTCTTGTATTTTTTTTTTTTTTCCAGCTAGGATCCATCTGATATCAGCAGTGATCTC